GAATGTCTGTTAGTTACTTTGATGCTCGTTAGGATGTCTGTCGGTTAATTTGATGCTCGTTAGGATGTCTGTCGGTTGATTTGATGCTCGTTAGAATGTCTGTTAGTTACTTTGATGCTCGTTAGGATGTCTGTCGGTTAATTTGATGCTCGTAAGGATGTCTGTTGGTTAGTTTGATGCTCGTTAGGATGTGTTGGTTACGTTGTTGTTAATCTGTTCTCATTTCGAAAAGTGAAATTACTTGGATTGACCAAGATTTACATGCTGGATGTTGTCACTGACGCTTTCTCTTTCGGAACACCTTTGTCTTATTCTCCTTATACCTTTTCATAAGCATCCATGTAAATCTTCTTTTTATTCATATTTTGCTTTAGTTTCAAAGATTTGGAGTTTGAATCAAGATACTGTATGAATTTACTATACCTGTATGATAAATCAGTTATCATTATTGTTGCCTTTTTTTTCTGTATTGCTTTTCTATACTTGTATGAAGAATTTGTTATCATTATTGTTGCCTTTTTGTGTCTGTTTGAATTTTCTGTACCTGTATGAAGAATCTGTTATCATTATTGTTGCCTTTTTATTTCTGTATTGCTTTTCTATACTTGTATGAAGAATTTGTTATCATTATTGTTGCCTTTTTGTTTCTGTATTGCTTTTCTATACTTGTATGAAGAATTTGTTATCATTATTGTTGCCTTTTTGTGTCTGTTTGAATTTTCTGTACCTGTATGAAGAATCTGTTATCATTATTGTTGCCTTTTTATTTCTGTATTGCTTTTCTATACTTGTATGAAGAATTTGTTATCATTATTGTTGCCTTTTTGTTTCTGTATTGCTTTTCTATACTTGTATGAAGAATTTGTTATCATTATTGTTGCCTTTTTGTGTCTGTATGAGTTTTCTATACCTGTATGGGTTGACGTAGGTACGATATATATCGTAAACGATAATGGAAGAAACTGCCATCACCTCACCAGACCCCGTAGACATGAGTGCCATTGTTACCATGGTGATGAGCAGGTATCCGCCTTTAGATCCCATTAGAGTTTCCATCACGAATGGGGTAATGAATCCTTTAAAAATATGATTTCGTTACATAATATGAAACTTTGTCTTATACAATAAAAGAGACCTACACGTTCAGTAACGGGATATTCCTTTTTATTATGTCTCTCAAACTCAAAGTGGAAAGAAAATAGCCTTAAGCAATGCTTCTTTTTTTTTTAAAAAAAAGAGTTGACTTACGGCGGATTTACGAAAAGCCAGAAGATTCGTATCCTGATCAAATGACTCATTACAAACGTTTTCGACAAACAATACAATACCATGTGTTTAAAATTCTCAGGTATGAAATACTCACCAGAATCTATATCACTGGACGTGAGCAAGTGTGTGCCATTCTGATAGCCCAGCGACATATACGTCATGGCTGACGTCATCGCTATTGTCGTTGGAATTGCAAACCAGATTTAGGCTGCTATGAAGAATCCGAGAACGCCCTGCGCTGGCTTAGCGGCTATTCTGCTCTGCCAGTTGGCTTGGTCACAAAAACTTATCGAAGTAGCCATGAAGAACAACACTAAACCATAAATGATACCCGACCTTGACCTGAAGGTCATGAGCGAATTGTCATGGTTACCATCAGGTCCAGCAATACACACCATGGCCTCATACATGGCTTCATTCGTGGCATAGGCCTGAGTAGGCCCTTTATCAGTGTAACTGACCATCACCACAAACACCAGCAACGTGACGAAAGTCAAGGCCGTGTTAAAGTACGATATATAAAAAGTGGTTCCAAGTCCACCAATCAGACAGTACGATCCAAACAGGACAGCAAGGATGAGAATAACAAACTCATCTGAGGCATCCTTCACCAGCACGTGCAGACTGGCTTTTCCTGCCAACACCAGTGAGGTCATAGTAACGAGATTTGCTAGCAGTGCCACAAAACAGAAGTAAATGTGGGCAACCTTTCCGAATCTAGAATATATGATCTATAAAAACAAATAAAAAAAAGGAAAAAACTTAATTCAATCACATGAAAATGACATAACGATGAAGAGAGTAAATTCGATTTAAAAGTCAATTATATATCAATTAATTAATTAAGTTCACACATTATTTGTAGGAAAAATTATGTATTCATTTAATACATTAATTTAACCAAGCACTGATTGTAAAACATGCGTTATCATCTACTTCGAGAAATTATTTAACATGTTACATATGTATTCACGTTGAAAAAAGTAAAACTGTTTTGTGTTATTTTATTTACGTTTAAAATATCTTATATCAATAAACACAAAATATGAGGAAATTAAAAAAAAACAAATAACTAATATTTAAACAATATTTATTGAATTTAAAAACGATACATGCAAGAAGAAAAACTTAAAAGAAAAGAATTACTCTATAAAATGTAAAACGGCATGACTTAAGTTTCTAATCTGATAAATTTTCATAATGACCATGTTATTTCCATTGATGAAGAGAGAAAGTAACTTGAAAGAAAGCGAAGAATGATGCTGATGTAACATAAAAATGTGAAGATGATATTACCTGAAGAAAGGTTTTGGCTCCAGGTGCGCGAGTCTTGAGGTGTATAGACAACATGGGAAAGAGAAGGATATCCAGGACGATACCGATGGAGAAAAATAACGATCCTCCCAATCCTGTCTGTTACAAAGCAACTTATGTCACGTGATTATAACTATATGAAATGATTGGTCACATCATGAAATACGGAATATCTTATACATTATATGGCAATACAATGTATTACATATTGGAATCATCAACAGAAAGCCAACATGGAGAAAACAGCATGGTGCATTCCCTATGACCAAGCATCTGTCTTATGGGTAATACTTTCAGAAGTTAGGTGTAAATCAACCAAATACGTTTCATAAAGGCAACAGTGACTAGATCCTGTTTTAAAATATTCATCCGATGTTATCAATATTTTCCTCTGTTCTCCCTGTTTCGCCACATGTGAATTTTTTTAATCCTTCAGTAGGAGGTATCATCAAAGATCGTTGTGCTAGTCAGAAATCTTCATTTTTTTTCACAACTCTGTTTTTACCGAAAATTTTATCAGATGAATTTTAAGGACAGAACACCTGTAATCAGCCTCTATCATGACCCAAACCAAGACTTCATATCACAGCAAAGCTAAAGGCCTCGGACAGATATCACGTTAACGCTTGTTTATAGTGTCACACAGACAATTACACGTGGAAATTTAGAGAAGTTTTTATTTCATAGGAAAATTCTAAATCGAAAAAGCTAGAAGAACTTAGAAAGAATCGTTTCATAAACTCGTGTATGAAATGAAAAGGAATTTAAGATATATTTAAATTATCTCACTATGGAAAGTTATATTTTGATGAGTTTTAATGAAAAAAGTTTGGAGGACAAAATTAAAAGAAGGTAACCATTTTGCTGACAAAGTTTTAATTCACAATGTTATGTCATAATTCATATCGTGATATCACAATTGATTGCTAACTGGCGTAGCCAATGAAAAAAATATCCTATGTGTTTACACTAGTGATATTCATGTAAACACAAAATATTACATGGAGAGAGTTCACTGGATAACAGGCGGATACTATGATACTGGATAGAGGGTTTAATATTAACTCAATCTGAAAGTTAGTGTTATGGTTTACCTTAATGGCGACTGTAGCACTTTGCAGGAAGTCTGCTGGCCAAAGCATTTGTGACGTCACGGTGACAGCAGTGAGGCTAAGAGTGACCTTGCCTCCAGCGTCAAAGGCAGTGTCCAGGTTATGTTGGTCGTGATAAACATGACGCCTCAGGGCAGATTGTATTAGGGCAAGTGTCACAGTTGTCCAAGTTACCGGCCATGACGCAGTAGAAGATGAGGATTACGAGGAAACGTAGCCGGGATTACTGGAACCGAAATCAATTACACAAGTAGTAAAGATGATGATAAGAATAACATAAAAAAGGAAGTTGATGGAGGGAAGGGTGTTGATTAAGTTAAATATTAACCTAAATGATAACGATTAGGCTCAAGCTATTGTAACTTACTAGGCCTGCTCCCAATCTAAATCAAGGCGAGGTTCCAACTCAAGAAAACATCAACGATAATCAAGTATTTTCGTTTGACCATGTTGCGTCTGGTTTTCAATGACAGAAGTAAACAGCTGTTCGATATATGTTTCGGTCCTTTGGGGGATTTTTACACTTGTTTTGATGTTCATTCGGTGTTTCTTCCATGTGTACATGTACATGCATGTAAAAGCCATCATTTTATCAAATCAGTGTTATGTTATTTGTGTATTTACATGCAGTATACTGTAAACTAATGTTTTGTGGGAGATTCATTTAGATTGATTTCGTTGGTGCTGAGCTGCATTTATCTACAAAGTGTCCATGAAGAAAACAAATCACGCAAATTGAGCACCACAGGTTTATAACAGTATATGAAATGTATGTTTAACTTGAATCTTTATGACTTTTTTAATAATCTGCCTGAGGAGAGCTTGAATGTAACAGGATATCAATATTCATTATTTTAACCTAAAGAACCGCATGCAAATAAAGATTTATATATGGTAGAGAAATTAATATCACGCTGCAAACTGTAGTCACTTACAATAAATACAAGTTATATAACTATTACGATGAAATTAACAAAGGGCTGTGATAGCTTAGATGGACCAGTTTGTGGTGTAATGACCGAGGACAAGGCACTTTACACTAATTACCTAAACATGGCGTTCAGTGAGGTAAACACCATCTACTACAAGGAGACCTTGTCTCAAAATGACACTGACTGTTTACGGAGCGATAAACAAAACAAAACCATTAAACTAACAAAAATATGTAGATAAAAGTCACAATGCGTTTGTAAATCTCAAACAGAAATAAATAACAAATACAACGTTCTTCATGAACAGAAAGAAATACAACTATGTCGAATTATAACACTTACACAGAATCTTGGCCGTCCTGAAAATTGTGTAGTGACGTTGTACAGTTGTCCAAGTTACCGGCCATGACGCAGTAGAAGATGAGGATTACGAGGAAACGTAGCCGGGATTACTGGAACCGAAATCAATTACACAAGTAGTAAAGATGATGATAAGAATAACATAAAAAAGGAAGTTGATGGAGGGAAGGGTGTTGATTAAGTTAAATATTAACCTAAATGATAACGTAACGTACCTTTGGATAAGACACTCAAGTGAAAAACAATTCAATATGAATACGGAATTAGATGCTGTAGACCCAATAAAAATAAATTAAAAAAAAAGAATAAACAAAATGAATAAATACATATAGATATAAATCAAGACAGAAATGACGTTGTATTCTTTTTTTTTTCTTTTAGGTCTTTTCAGTGGTGTTAAGAGCTGAATATGTTTAAAGTCGAAAATGAATGTAAAAAAACAAACCAGGAAGTATTTTCTGATCGATTTCCACAATGATTTTAAATCAGTATAATTGATTGAATCACTACGAGTGTCGCCTTATTTGCCCATATGGTTATTTCAGTGGAGCACTTGTCAAGTATAGGCAAAGTCAAAATGATTTGAAGCACTGCAAATGCTTTAAGTAGATCGTCTCTCTAGATTTTGGTTCCTGTAATATAAGTAAGAAAAGTCACTGTAATACATTTATCTCTTGGTTTCAAAGAGTTATGTCCCTTCGTTTATTGGCTGCTGTACGCCTGAAACAAAGCCACGGCCGCTCGGTGCGCTCTCATTATGTGCTTTGTTTAAACTTTGGTTTATTCAAACTTCAACAGTACAAGAAATAACCATTATGCATCATACAAAATGATTTGCTTATGACAGAAAAATACAGACAACCTTTTTACGTCCAGCGAACTTTGGAGCAGTTCAAAAAATCGTCCAATCGTTTACTAAGGCGAAGATGATGTCAATAAGTATTAACGCATATATATTCAACGCTCTTGTAACACAATGACTAAACACAGTGTTTACTTGGGTTGACCGAAACGTTTATTTCATCGTATAGTGGTTTTCCATAGTTAGTACTTCATAACACTTCAGGTGCTTATATATGCTTAAAAATAACAATCCAACCAGGTAGTACAAGTTCTCTAGTCTTCACATGCAGTTAAAACGAAAGAGTTCGAAAAGTTGAAATAAAGTCCACAGTTAACAAGTTTTAGGTTCCATTGGCCGAATATGAGAAATGAGGAGAGAGAGTAACACTGGTGATGTTCTCTGGCCAGTCGTTCTCCCCAAGTCTGTTAGCAACAGTGCGAGCCCCTATTTTATAGACAACGATCACGTTGCCAAACATGGGATATGGTCAAGTGTTCCTAACCCTACCAGAATTTGCCCAAATTAATTATGTATTTAACGTGAGACCTTAAGTACTATGTCAACACTGACTACACTTGACTTTGTGTATTCCATTACTGACCACTTCACTTTCGTATAATCTTGACTCTAAGACTATGTACCTATCTAATTCCTTGACCGATAAACGGTTTGATACCTCTGCACTAAATATCATCAATTATATAAAATATTATTAATTAACTCTGATTGGTTATTAACTGCATAATTATTAATCGGATCTTATTTTGTTACACTCTACAGAGGCAATGGTTCTACAGACGAATGTGCAAAACGTGACCTTTAGATCTGATGATATGGTCGGTTTGCAAAAAATGCATTACAAGAGTTTAATACAATTCCATGATCACACTGCTTCACCTTAAACTTCTCCATGCTTATATACAATATCTATGATATATATATACCACCACATCGAAATCTGCAAATCTAGGACGCATAACAAACAAAACAATTGTCGCTCCTATACAGGACACTGGCTTGTTCACGTTGATGATGATATTAAGATAAGTTTCACCTGTACTGTAGATACACACATAAACAACATTTCTGATATTTCAATACCTATGGTATAGTATTTAACATAGCCTGACTTCATTTGTTGGGTATCTATCTAATTACGATGTGATCCACTTTTAAGCAACACACCATCGGTTTTGTGACCACATTCTACCAGTGGAACAATATATATATATATATATTAAAATCAATGCGATTCATTAGTTTGTTTTCCAGTCCTTATCTCTGTAAATTTACAAGTAATATGCAAATGTGGGAAATAAAATAAAAATGTATCGTTGAAAACAATATAGCAAAACATTTTTTTCTGATCTTCTAAAAGAAATTCCATCTAATTACTTTGCTTCGGCAACTTTCGTAATTACGCGATGACATTGGGTAATGCTTCTCCTCCTGTCGTTGATAACATGAATCAGTATCCACCTAACACGTGATCATTACAAAATTTATCAATTAGTGTGGCTACTTCACCTCACCTCTACATTTTGACTTTTCTTTCGATCACCTTGGATTTTCCTCTGTCGTCTCTTAAATGACACATTTAGGAACGAAAAAGTCAATAATCACGTCGGACAAACGAGACAAAAAAGTATTGGGTTGATATATGAGGTCGGACAAACGAGACAAAAAAGTATTGGGTTGATATATGAAGTCGGACAAACGAGACAAAAAAGTATAGGGTTGATATATGAAGTCGGACAAATGAGACAAAAAAGTATAGGGTTGATATATGAAGTCGGACAAACGAGACAAAAAAGTATAGGGTTGATATATGAAGTCGGACAAACAAGATAAAAAAAGTATAGGGTTGATATATGAAGTCGGGCAAACGAGATAAAAAAAAGTATAGGGTTGATATATGAAGTCGGACAAACGAGACAAAAAAGTATAGGGTTGATATAATATAGGGTTGATATATGAAGTCGGACAAACGAGACAAAAAAAGTATAGGGTTGAGTATAGGGTTGATATATGAAGTCGGACAAACGAGACCAAAAAAGTATAGGGTTGATATATGAAGTCGGACAAACAAGATAAAAAAAGCATAGGGTTGATATATGAAGTCGGACAAACAAGATAAAAAAAAGTATAGGGTTGATATATGAAGTCGGACAAACAAGATAAAAAAAGTATAGGGTTGATATATGAAGTCGGGCAAACGAGATAAAAAAGTATAGGGTTGATATATGAAGTCGGGCAAAAGAGACAAAAACGTATAGGGTTGATATATGAAGTCGGACAAACGAGACAAAACAAGTATAGGGTTGATATATGAAGTCGGACAAACGAGACAAAAAAAGTATAGGGTTGATATATGAAGTCGGGCAAACGAGACAAAAAAAAAGTATAGGGTTGATATATGAAGTCGGGCAAACGAGACAAAAAAAGTATAGGGTTGATATATGAAGTCGGGCAAACGAGACCAAAAAAGGGTATAGGGTTGATATATGAAATCGGACAAACGAGACAAAAAAGTATAGGGTTGATATATGAAGTCGGGCAAACGAGACCAAAAAAGGGTATAGGGTTGATATATGAAATCGGACAAACGAGACAAAAAAAGTATAGGGTTGATATATGAAGTCGGGCAAACGGGACAAAAAAAGGGTATAGGGTTGATATATGAAATCGGACAAACGAGACAAAAAAAGTATAGGGTTGATATATGAAGTCGGGCAAACGGGACAAAAAAAGGGTATAGGGTTGATATATGAAATCGGACAAACGAGACAAAAAGTATAGGGTTGATATACGCAGTCGGACAAACAAGATAAAAAGGTATAGGGTTGATATATGCAGTCGGACAAACAAGATTAAAAGGTGCAGGATAATGTATGAAGTTATACAATCGAGATAAATGGTTGAACGAAAAACATAAAAAAAAATTTCAAAAACGTCTCGAATAAGAATTCGCTCTTTAACCCTACAAATAATAAATATTTTCTTATCTAACTTCCCCTGAAAACCTCAGTGTTACCTATTGGGCTGGTTGTAACTTGTCGAATACTTTTGTTACTTTGATTCTTTAAAAAATAAAATTATCATACAGTGAAGCAAATTGAACACTAACTCTAACTTCAAGTCCTCAACAGTATTCATTGGCAAAAACATCAATCTGTCTACAGTTGTTTTTTAAATACAGTCAAATGTAAAAAAATCAACATATCACAAAACTCAGAAATCCTTATAAAAGATGGAAAATGAAAGAATAAAAAGAGAAAATTATTGATTTGCATATACCAACCTGGAACGATGACCAACTTGTTTTAAATGGTATTACATTTATAAAAGTGAAAAGGATATGTAAATCCTCTTCAATTAATATAGGTACATTCAATTATCACCATAAGCAACTCTGTCCAAACTGGCGATTTAATCACCAACAAACCACGTGACATGAAGGCCACAGTCGCGATTTAATCACCAACAAACCACGTGACATGAAGGCCACAGTCGCGATTTAATCACCAACAAACCACGTGACATGAAGGCCACAGTCGCGATTTAATCACCAACAAACCACGTGACATGAAGGCCACAGCCAGTGTTAATGAGATCAATAGACCATAGATCTATATTGAATCACACCAACTATATGTAGTAACCCATGATTTAATTCATGTCTGTTAATTCTGTTTTGATTCAAAAGAGAAATTATTTCAAAATGTTTTACAGATTATTTGCATAAAAATATATAATTAAATTGACATGAATGACGTAGTCACGAGGTGTACCTACCTTAGTGCACTGCAGATCTGTCAATGTTTTGTAGTGTAAATAAGATCCCACAAGGACCTCAGTACGGTAGCCGTCATGAAAACCAGATACTAGACTAATGTATAAGTGAAGAAAAATCCTATCGACGACCGGTTCAGGTCAAGGTGGAAACACCGCGTTTATTTACAACATTTTAAAGGTGCCTGCGGCGTCGTGACAGAATCAACATTTTCAACACGGTCTATAGGCACGTCTTTAATACAGACGCCCATCTTTAGCAATTTTAATGAATAATGTCAATGGATCTGAGTTTAAACTCATGAAAATATTCACCTACTTGATAAAATGTTGAAAACTAAAACAGAATATTTCAAACCTTCGAAGTGATGTTAAAAAACTATCACTTCTGGGGCGTATTCGAACTATTAATACTACAACAATTGCGAAACAAGTGTCTAAGTGTTGGAGGAAACCCGGGGAAGACCCGTATGGCGGGGCAGGTATCACCATACCTTTCCACGTCATTTCGGAAATTGAAGCCTGTTCATGTCTTACCCGTTCTCTGTTGTCCGGGTATACTTGTTTGACAAGAGTCTACTAAATGTCGTTAATCTCGAATCTTGGGCATACTTCACTAGTAAAGGTGAATGCCGATATATTTCACGTGCAAAGCACGAGTGAAAATATCGGTATATTCTGCCATTCGACCGAAATGTATATGTAAATCAACGGGAAACGAGACCATCAAGCTTGCTATTCATAAACAATACTAATTTTTGACATGGTAAAAACTCAGGAACCAACACCGTAATCTTAATACCTTATAATGTTACGCTTGACACACCAGCATCATTTCGGACGGGATGGTTGTTTGGTTTTTACTAGCGTTTACTGTAGAAATCTGCTGGTCCATTCTGTAATCTGATTTTAAATATAGTCCGCTGCAAATGCATTCGACTTCCGCTTCCATGTCATCTGAACTGAAACACGAGAGCAGAGAAAATCTTTTGAATTAGCCAATAAAACTCTGCTATAACGACTATATAGTGAGTTTTATCCAACGGATATCTTTTCATTGGCAATTGTGTCAAAAGTGTATTAAACAAAAGATAGCAAGCAGAAAGCTATAGATCATCGTCGATATCATTTTTTGTTTTGTTTTTGTAATGTTTCTTTTCAAATAAAACGCTATCTGGTGTTATGTCATATGGTTACATATAACAAAACCATATCGACCGGCTTAGACCACATCAGGATAAGCATAGTGCTTTATTTATACAGCATATCTACATTTCAATATAAACCGTAACGTGAAGGTAACCAACACATACAGTTACGTGAAAGGTTACCAGCACAGACTGTTACGTGAAATATTACCAACACAGACCGTAACGTGAAAGGTTACCAACACAGACTAACGTGAAAGGTTACCAGCACAGACTGTTACGTGAAATATTACCAAAACAGACCGTTACGTGAAAAGTTACCAACATAGACCGTAACGTGAAGGGTTACCAACACAGACTGTTATGTGAAAGGTTATTAACGCAGACTGTTACGTGAAAGGTTACCAACACAGACTGTTACGTGAAAGGTAACCAACACAGACTGTAACGTGAAAGGTTACCAACACAGACTGTAACGTGACGGGCTACCAACACAGACTGTAACGTGAAAGGTTACCAACGCATACAGTTACGTGAAATATTACCAACACAGACCGTAACGTGAAAGGTTACCAACACAGACTGTTTCGTGAAAGGTAACCAACACATACAGTTACGTGAAAGGTTACCAACACAGACTGTAACGTGACTGGCTACCAACACAGACTGTTACGTGAAAGATTACCAACACAGACTGTAACGTGACGGACTACCAACACAGACTGTTACGTGAAAGATTACCAACACAGACTGTAACGTGACGGGCTACCAACATAGATTGTTACGTGAAAGGTAACCAACTAGTGACAAGTTCTAGAAGGACAAAACAGTCACTTGTTTAGCTCTACCTTATCATTACGCGTGTTTGACCTTGGTTATATGGCGGGTTAAGAACAGATCATTACGCGTGTTAGACCTTGGTTATACGGCGGGTTAAGAACAGATCATTACGCGTGTTTGACCTTGGTTATACGGCGGGTTAAGAACAGATCATTACGCGTGTTTGACCTTGGTTATACGGCGGGTTAAGAACAGATCATTACGCGTGTTTGACCTTGGTTATACGGCGGGTTAAGAACAGATCATTACGCGTTTTTGACCTTGGTTATACGGCGGGTTAAGAACATATCACGTATATTTGACCTTGGTTATGTGACGTATCAGGGATTTCAATAGATGGTTTAGATTTTGTTATATTTACCCTGACTACATAGATTTCCTTTCATTGATATTTCTCACCCTTTTGTCATTAATACAAAAATACCCGGATGATAAGATCAGTTGTTTCTGAGGGCAAGCGTCTTCTACTTCATCGACCAAAATATGCCTACATGATAATAACGACCATCAACTTAACGTAATTCAGAAGACATTTTACGATGTTGTATAATCTTAAACAAGCTTTGTAATTATGCAGTTACGAACAATTTAAACGAATGGAGTTATGATCCAGTTTGTTAATTACGTGTTTTTTAAGCAGGACAAATGGTAAAAAGTAAGCAGTTATGTAAATGCAACGGAAACCCATCTTTCGCGATACGAAATAGATTGTCTGACAATCTCGGCCTCTTTACCTTTTTATAACAATTGTAATGACCTGGTTGTCAGGCGACTGTGAAATGTCATTTTATATTTTGTCTGCTCAGCATATATACAATTTTCGAGGAAATATTTGCATAAATATGGTAATCAGTATGTACATAGAAATGATACGTGCTCACCTTTGCGACGGCCTAGTTATAGTATTGTGCTGCGCGATCTCTGTTTTGGGAGTATAAATAGCAGATAAGGCCGTTGTAGTATAGGGAATTAGCGAACAGATCACGTAACTTCGAGAATTTGCCTCCATTTCTTCATTTGTTTATTCCTGCACATCCGGGGTTTATTACATAATCATTATATAACAGGGATCCGGTCACCGGTAAGGATTTCCGGAAAATTACAAAATCAAATCAAGAATTAATAAATCATGTATAAAAATCAAAATTAGGATTTAATGTGATAGATTTTCTCCATATTCTACAATGTATCTGCCAATATGAACCAATAATATAACAGTAGTATTATGCTACGCGATCTCTATTTTGAGAGTATAAATTGCAGATCAGGCCGTTGTATTGTACTGCGCGATCTCCGTTTTGGGAGTATAAATGGCAGATCAGGCCGTTGTAATATTGTGATCTCCGTTTTGGGAGTATAAATAGCAGATCAGGCCGTTGTAATATTGTGATCTCCGTTTTGGGAGTATAAATAGCAGATCAGGCCGTTGTAATATTGTGATCTCCGTTTTGGGAGTATAAATAGCAGATCAGGCCGTTGTAATATTGTGATCTCCGTTTTGGGAGTATAAATAGCTGATCAGGCCGTTGTAGTAACGTAGCCTTGTACTGTAAAATCGTTACTTTTCGTAGAGGATTAATTTTCGTTGATTTCGTTGGAACTCTTATTCCACGACCTCAAGTATCCATTACATGTTAGAATTTATATAAAATGATTTATTGAGCAATATTAATCCACAAAACAGGAAGTTTTGGACAAACTATGAAAATTAAGCCCCTAGAAAATGGTTTTCAATTTTTCTCGTAGTGAGGAAAATGACGTCTTCATTGATGGATAGATACCTGCTTTAAACCACTTAATTATACTTCTAATATGCAACGTATAAAATAGAAAGGGAGATAACTTTTTAAAGTAAAGTATTCACTGTTATAGACTTTGGAATATAGGGGATGTTATCCGTGTGTATTCGGAGGAAGGCTGTACGGCATTTGTCTCCAATTCCCAAGATTGGTTTTTCTTTTTTGAAAATTGTCTGCAGATTTCTTTAGAGGCCAAATTGTTTTCGATTCGTAGTTGACGAGAGTGATAACATGCAGGATCTGAAAGGTGAAAATGAAGTGAAAAGGAAATATGACGTGAATCACAATTATAACTTTTAACTTTTCCTTGAATTTTGTCCATAAAACATAAAACTATAACAGAACTATGATTTTCATTCATTCTTTGATTCAGCGTCAATATCATTTGGTAGCGATACCGTTAAATGTCATTTTTCGCAGATTTGGTTTTATTGTCCGTTCTATACAGACTCGGTACTATTGTCCGTTCTATACAGACTCGGTATTATTGTCCGTTCTATACAGACTCGGTATTATTGTCCGTTCTATACAGACTCGGTATTATTGTCACAGCTTATACAGACTCACACAGCTATTATTGTCACAGTTTATACAGACTACATCACACAGTTTATACAACTACATCACACAGTTTATACAGACTACATCACACAGCTTATATATCTACATCACACAGCTTAATACAGACTACATTATTGTCAGCTTATACAGACTACATTATTGTCCAGTTTATACAGACTACATCACACAGCTTATACAGACTCGGTACATTGTCACACAGCTTATATATCTACATCACACAGCTTAAACAACTACATCATACAGCTTATTATTGTACGTTCTATACAGACTTATATATTGTCATCACACAGACTTGATTATTGTACATCACACAGACTATGACCAGTGTGGAATCTCCAAGGTTAAAAATAGAAACAGTGCTTTATTAAAAAAACACATAATTATGTAATGTATTTAGAATTATTTTAACTTGAAAATAATGTTTCACACAGATTTATATATTGTACATCACACAGTCTATACAAGGTTTTCACACAGATTATATATCGGCTACATTTCACACATGCTTATACAACGTACATCACACAGACATGTTGTTGTTGACCTGTTTACGGAGGTTGACAGCGACGTTATATATCTACATCACACAGTTGTACTGAAAATGGAGCTCATATATCTTCTATATCGCTCTGATGGCAGACGGGGCGACAATATGTATCATATATATGTATAGCGTTTCGTGAAAACAATTGAAGTGATTGTCACTTCTGATCTGTTGTTTGTAATAAATGACAAAGGATGTGCACAATAAAGTATACAACTACATCACACAGCTTATACAACTACATCACACAGCTTATACAACTACATCACACAGCTTATACATCACACAGCTTATATATCTACATCACACAGCTTAAACAACTACATCACACAGCTTAAACATCTACATCACACAGCTTAAACAACTACATCACACAGCTTAAACAACTACATCACACAGCTTAAACATCTACATCACACAGCTTATACAACTACATCTACAGCTTATACATCTACATCACACAGCTTATACATCTACATCACACAGCTTATACAACTACATCACACTGCTTAAACATCTACATCACACAGCTTATACAACTACATCACACAGCTTATACAACTACATCACACAGCTTAAACATCTACATCACACAGCTTATACAACTACATCACACAGCTTATACAACTACATCACACAGCTTAAACAACTACATCACACAGCTTATACAACTACATCATACAGCTTATATATCTACATCACACAGCTTAAACAACTACATCACACAGCTTATACATCTCACAGCTTATATAACTGCAGAACACAGCTACAACTACATCACACAGCTTATTCATCTAAATCACATAGCTTCTACATCTACATCACACAGTTCTTTACTATTAGAAACCAAAACTGTTGTCACCCAGAAAATCATTTTGGCGAAATCTTAATTAGATTAGTTTTATTGGTCCAATTGCTTCATAGATTGAACAGAAAAAATCTAAAATCTGGAAAAGGGTAGAAAATAAAAGTGATGATTTTGACACTGTGGCATTAAGGTTTATAGGACAATAAGTAAAAGTGATGATTTTGACACTGTGGCATTAAGGTTTACAGAACAGAAAATAAAAGTGATGATTTTGACACTGTGGCATTAAGGTTTAAAGGACAGAATATAAAAGTGATGATTTTGACACTGTGGCATTAAGGTTTATAGAACAATAAGTAAAGGTGATGATTTTGACACTGTGGCATTAAGGTTTACAGAACAGAAAATAAAAGTGATGATTTTGACACTGTGGCATTAAGGTTTAAAGGACAGAATATAAAAGTGATGATTTTGACACTGTGGCATTAAGGTTTATAGAACAATAAGTAAAGGTGATGATTTTGACACTGTGGCATTAAGGTTTACAGAACAGAAAATAAAAGTGATGATTTTGACACTGTGGCATTAAGGTTTATAGAACAGAAAATAAAAGTGATGATTTTGACACTGTGGCATTAAGGTTTATAGGACAGAAAATAAAAGTGATGATTTTGACACTGTGGCATTACGGTTTATAGGACAGAAAATAAAAGTGATGATTTTGACACTGTGGCATTAAGGTTTATAAGACAGAAAATAAAAGTGATGATTTTGACATTGTGGCATTAAGGTTTATAGGACAGAAAATAAAAGTGATGATTTTGACACTGTGGCATTAAGGTTTATAGGACAATAAGTAAAAGTGATGATTTTGACACTGTGGCATTAAGGTTTACAGAACAGAAAATAAAAGTGATGATTTTGACACTGTGGCATTAAGGTTTATAGGACAGAAAATAAAAGTGATGATTTTGACACTGTGGCATTAAGGTTTATAGGACAGAAAATAAAAGTGATGATTTTGACACTGTGGCATTAAGGTTTATAGGACAGAAAATAAAAGTGATGATTTTGGCACTGTGGCATTAAGGATTATAGGACAGAAAATAAAAGTGATGATTTTGACACTGTGGCATTAAGGTTTATAGGACAGAAAATAAAAGTGATGATTTTGACACTGTGGCATTATGGTTTATAGGACAATAAGTAAAAGTGATAATTTTGACACTGTGGCATTAAGGTTTACAGAACAGAAAATAAAAGTGATGATTTTGACACTGTGGCATTAAGGTTTATAGGACAGAAAATAAAAGTGATGATTTTGACACTGTGGCATTAAGGTTTATAGGACAGAAAATAAAAGTGATGATTTTGACACTGTGGCATTAAGGTTTATAGGACAGAAAGTAAAAGTGATGATTTTGACAATGTATCAAAATAGATTTCTAGGATAGAAAATTAATGTACTGATTTTGATACTGTGTCAATAGGCTTATAAGATAGAAAATAAATCTGGTGATTTTAACATTGTGTCGAGTGTGTTCGGATACTTAACAAGAGTTTCAAGTCACTATCTTAAAAACAAAAATAGTATAAAAAAATGAAATGAAATTTTAAAAACTGTTCGTCGTTGAAATTGTGACTGGAATGGAAGAAATTTAGCCAATTCTGATGACAATATGAAGAATACCACAGATACCTATAAAATGTCTAATCCTTATACCATGACAGGTTTTTATTTACAACACTTCAATAATTCGCACTATAGCCGTTGGACAGAAGCAAAAATAGTGTATTTTTCATAGAAGTTATGACATGGGCAATAGTTTTCTTTATCAGGTTTATTTTTATCAAATCTATTTTCATGATTTTTATTCTAGCATCGATATAAATTAATAAATACAATTCCTCGACAATAACAACGCTTATTTTGCCGAAAAGTTTTTGAGAATAAGATTAATATACACCTAAGCTAAAATATAGATGTAGATACTCATGAGAAAAATCATAGATGTATCAAATCTATGTTTACCCTCGTTCAATATCTGATCCAATATTCAGTACACCCACAGTTGCCCCCCTTTAACCAACGCCACTGCTGTAGAGACTAAAATCACCAATACAACACGTTATCTAACACCAAAGTCTATATAAAAGATAGATAAATGTAAGTCATATCGAGAGAAATGATCCGGAAACAAATCAGGTTAAAACCTAAAAAAAAAAAA